TATTTCCTTTGATATCTGGGGAGTGCGTAATACCGTTGATTGATATCTGGGCAAAACTCCGTTATAGTATGAATTTTGTGGAGCTCTAAGGCTTCAACGAATTAAGGTCAACAGAATTCGGTACAATCTTAGCACTGTTACTGTTATTCACCCCCCTCAAATGAAATATAAATTTGTAATGCTTTTCCTAAACACAGAGCTTTCATAAAAATAAGCAAGCAATACTATCTATCCGTATTATTTTTGTGAAAACCAAATGCATGAAAGTGCAGCATTTTTATATGAAGTCATCAAAAGTAAGTATAAGTTTATAGTGCTATGGCGGATGTGAAGCGAACGCTGCTAGAAGGAGGTGAAGATGTAAAGGACGACGAGGAAGAAGATGGAGAATGCGAAGCATCCGATCAACAAGCCAAAGAGCCGCTCGCTGATTTTTGCAGAAGTATGCTTCGATTTGCAGCTTCTTAAGAGTGATAACCAGTTATTCAGTCAGTAGGTTAGTACCAGGCTAAAGCTTCCCCTTTCACTCACAATTAGAGCGACATTTCTAAACATTTTCGTAAGTTATCACTTCGTTTTTCTTATCAATCGTTCTTTAAAACTGTTTGACAATGCTAATCTCAAATAATCTGATTTTTTTTCACATAAAAAGTGTGAATTAAGGACGCTTTAAATTTGGAAATTGAAAGGCTGCAAATATAATTAAAACTTTAATGATCAGGGGAACAACTGTTATCCTTGTTAACAAGTGTTGGCTGTTGGGGAACCATTTGTTACCACTCGAGTTACTACTCAAATTCCTTCACCACTCACCGAGAACAGGTTCAGATGGGATTTTGACTTTTGGCTTTGAATGATCAAGAATTTCCTATAGATCTGCATGGTGGGCGTTAATACCTTACGTTTAATTTATTTAAATAAAAGCACTGGACCGGATATGCCAAAAATATTAAGACAGTTGGTGCCCGGGAGTTTTCTATGATAGTGATGTTTCTGGAATTTTCTTGCACCCCAGATGCAGTCTCGAATCCTGAGCTACGTAGTTTCACTTAGTGTTTTTGCCGTCTGCTCAGTGTTTGTGTGCCACCTCTTCACATGCCGTTTGAGTGGTTGCTTATTCTTTTTTGTGAACCATTCAATGATATTTTGTATCCACCTGTCAAAGATCTCGAAGAAAGCCCTAAAAAATCTACGCTCGCTCATCTCTGCCCTTGTGGTACAATATCGTAGATACGCGGATCGTGTTTTTGTGTTGACTGTTATTAGGTCCTCACATGATCTTTGACTGCAGCGGCGGCAGACAGTGAAGAATGACAGCATTTTATTCTCCAACAAAGCTTCACTTCAATAAAAAGACGAGCTGGGGACACCGCACAAGCTAATGAGCAGAATGGGGGCGCTTAGTCGTGTCGAGGTGCCCTTAGTAGAATTAGTTGTGGCAGACTAGTGACGCGCATTGATTCCGACACTCCGAACCTTGGTTTTTAGGAGGGGTTTATATAGGGAAAATTAATGGAGGGAAAAGGAAGGCAAGGTAGTTAGTAAATGAGAAGGGTAGGTAGTGTGGAACTATTTAGAATTTGGTGAAACTGTTAGAAATTAGTGAGTGGAGGGAAGTAGGTCGAGTGTTAAGGATTAGTGAGAGGACGGAAAGAGGTGGAATTATAGGGTTGCACTGTATGTCTACTGGCTAGGCGAACATTAGTCTGGCCTAAGGAAATGTAATGTGCGATTAGCAGTAGCGGAGCTGTAGAGAACGATTATATTTTGTTTTGTCCCCACTATTTCGCTAGCGAAACTATCTGAAAGACGGCCTGGAATTCAAACAGAGTAGGATTTATTGGAACCAAATTCTACCCGGCGAAACTGAAGGGAGATTTCTTTTGTTAAACTGAACCATTTATAAATTTCTAATAAAGCGTGATTCTGTTTAACAACACCACCAACACTCAGTAAAGCAATCATGTCCTGCCTCTCTAATTTACTTGCTTGCAAGATGTCCAGTCTGTATTCCTGTCTTCCAGTTGATATTCCTGTCTTTTTGCTTCATCTCCTTCCCATAGTTTCAAGAGCTAAATTGTCACATAGAGTTTTCTCTGTTTTAATGAATCGACATAATAAGTGTTCAGTATGCGAGATCTTTCTTCCTTAACTGAAGGAGAGCACTACTGGGACAGTCTAGAGCGCGCCAAACTACGATTAAGATTAAATTTTCGTTCTTTATTGCTATGTTTCACGCAAGTCAAGTCCATCTTTGCAATGCCTTTTTTTGAGCTAGCTAC